CCTGGAGCCTTCTCCTCTTCAGGTGAGCCCCAGCTCTCCCAGCCCGGCTCCAGCCCTGAATCAGCTCCATGGGTTCCTCTGGACTCTCCCCAGCAGCTCCAAATCCTCGATTTTGGAGGCTCCGGGGCTGGAGGCTGCTCTGCAGGTGGGGCCTTTTCACAGCGCTCCAGCATCCCTGGGCATCCTCCTGCTGTACCATCCCACAGATACCCAGCTGGAGCATCCCCTGGACCCTCTGCTGGAGCATCCCCCGGACACAGCTGGAACGTCCATCCCGCCACGCTGCTCCTCTCTAGCCGGGAAGGAGGAGCGAACCTGTCCCCTCCCCACCGCCCCTGTCCCCTCCCTGGACCCCCTGTCCCCTCCCCTCAGCCCGTGTCGCCTCCCCGCCGGCGCCGAGCCTTCATCACCGAGTCCGAGCCGCTGTCGTTCGGAATCGCCGGCGCGGCCGTAGCCAGGAAGGGCAGGGAGAAAAACGAGCTGATTTTCTTCCCTCGCAACCCCGGCGAAGAAACGGCGGAGGAGCAACAAAGGATTAATTTAACCTCCCACAGCCGCCCGAGCCCGGCGAGCCGCAGATGGTGCGGAGTAAAAAAGCCGCTTTCACGACCTCCGACAAAGACATAGAGACGCTTTTCAGGGGCTCGGGGAGACGCGCGGACCCAGCTGGGCTGCTCAAGGTGTGCTGAGCCCCGCGGGATGCAGCGGGGGATGGAGCAATGGTGTGTTCACCTGTGCTTCTGGTGGTGGTGAATCGATTCAGGGACACATTGAGGGTTCTGGTTTTCCCCCTTTGACTCCTGAGCGAGGAGGGATGGCTCTCCAGGGGTCCCTGCCAGGCGGCAGGGGTGACACCCCAAAGACTGCCCTCCTTCAGCCACATTGCCTGGCTGCTCCATGGGCGGGAACCCCTGAAATTCCCAACCCTTCATCCCTGCAGGAAAGCTCTTTTCAGTGCTCCCGTCCCCTCTGGTCCCCGCTGGATGGTGGCACATAGACGGGTGCTCACCCTGAGGGACACGGGATGGATGTGCCACCTGCCTTGGTGACAGCTCTGGGACTTTCTCTGCTGCCCACAGTGCTGCCACAGGCACCTGCACAAATGTTCACTCCGGATTTCTATATCTATACCTTTATTTCTATAGCTATTTCTATATCTATATATGATCTATATCCATATCTATCTCTATATCCATATCTATATATCTATATCTACATATCTACAAATCTACATATCTACATATCTCTATATCTATACCTATATCTATATCTATACCTGTATCTATACCTGTATCATCTATACCTATATCTATGTCTGTCTATATCCATGTCTATATCTATATCATCTATATCTATATATCTATATATCTATATATCTATATATCTATATATCTATATATCTATATATCTATATATCTATGCCTATACCTATATATCTATATCTACCTATACATATACCTATATGTATATGTATATCTATATCCATATCATCTATATTTATATCTATATACCTATACCTATACCTATATCTGTATCTACCTATATCTATATCTATATCTATATCTATATCTATATCTATATCTATATCTATATCTATATCTATATCTATATCTATATCTATATCATCTATATCAGTATCTATGTCCATGTCTATATGTATATCTATACCTATAACTATATTGATACCTATATCTATATAGATATAGATATCTATATGTATATAGATATCTATATCTATATCTATACCTATGTCTATATCTATATCTGTATCTATATCTATACCTATATCTATATCTATATCTATACCTATATCTATATGTTATCTATCTAATCTATTTAATGAACATATACAGCTATGGACCTCTGGCCCTTCTCTCCACAGGATGAGGATCCCTCTCTGGAGCACGGCACCTCCTCCCTGCTCCTGCCGCAGATGCAGCCCCAGCTCAGCCGGGTTTCATCTCCAGACCCTCGGCAAGGGGCTGAGCATGGGCTGGAGGGAGCCCGGGGGTGCTGGAGCTGGAGCAGGGTGTGGGCAGCGAGGGTGGAGTGTGGCAGGGATTGGTGCCAGGATTCCTGCCAGGAGCGCGCCGGTGCCAGTGGCACAGGGGACAGGGCAGGGGACTCTGCTGGGATGGTGGCAGCTGGCAGGGACGGGCAGGACAGACCCCACTCTGTCCCTGCACCATTCCCTGCYCTTTGCCATGGCATTCCCTGGYTCTGGRAGRTTTGTTTGGCTGCACCTCTGGGATYTCCARATTCCCAGACTCRCCCTGCAGACCCCACTGACCCCTCTGGGCTCTGCCCTGGCCCTGCTGCTCAGCAGGGAGGGGGTTCTGTGTGAAGGGGGTGGGGAAGCATCGCCTCCCGTGTGGGGAAAGGCCTCAGAACGGACGGAAAGGCCTCAGGATGAGCGGCTCCAGGGGTTCTCAGCCCTTTGACACCCTGAGCACGAGGTCTGGGTGTGATTCAGGGTGAATCCCTGCAGTTACAGCCAGGATTGGTGCAAGAACGGGCAAAACCAGGCAAATTCACCATGGGCTTGACTCCAAGCTGCGCTCTGAGGTCTCTGCAATCCACTGTGGCTCCTGCTGACTGTGAAAACTGCAAATCCTGGTCTGCAAGGGCACTCCAAGGCAGGGCCACCACCACCCCAAAGCCTGGTGTCACCTGGGGTCACCTCCGCGGGTGCTGCTCCCTGCCCTCCCCCCTCCCCAGCCTCACAGGAGGAGCAGGGCCAGCCCAGATCAGCCCTTCCAAGCGTGGATTTGCCGCCTCCAAACCCCACCGAGGCCATTTGGCTTCCGAGC